ATAGTTATACTTAGTTTTATTTATTAGTTTTAGTATTATTTTATCCCGTTGTCTTTGTAAATTGTAGAAGGTTTACACGGATAACACTATATAATCCCACAATTTGATTAGAACTATTTATAGAACCTTGAGTAAAATGACAAAATATACAAATTCAATTTTTGCATTAATTTCAAATTGGTTAATTTCTTTTTTTAAAAAATATATTTGATATAGAATTAAATATAAATAATAAAATTCATGATATAACTTTTCAATATTTTTTTTATGGACACCAGAAATAAATTAAGATATTGAAAAATTTTTTAATATTTTTTTTTTATCTAGATCTATTAATGAAGTTCAATTTCATTATTTTCCATTTGATTTAAATTGATAAAATTCAAAGTGAGCTTTGATATTTCTAAATATAGGTTCAATTTTTGATTTGATTTGTTTTGAGAATTTTTTTTTTCATTAAATTAAAAAAAAAAATTCTGTTAAGACATCTGATATATGTAACATTAAATATAACTTATCAGGTAAATAATTTTCATAATTAATTATCAAAAATAAAGATTTTTTTTTACCTATTAATTTATATTATAATAAATTTTAATTAATTAATATTAAATTAAATATAAAAAATATTAATATATCAAATAAATTTATATTTTGTATTGATTCTATTTTTCCATATTTTATCCATATCCCATTATAATAATACTTCATAATTATAAAATAAACAAAAATATTTGAAATTTAAAATAGTTAATCTTATAATTATATACATTATTTTCCAATCTCCACAAAAAAATAATTCAATTATCCAATGAATACCATTTTGATTAATAATTCTATTATCTTTTAAATCAGATAATTATAATAAAATAATTAACTAATTTTTGTCAAGTCTTTATATTTCTCATATCCAATGTATAGACAAGTGTTATAATTTTTAAAAATTAATATAATTAAATAATAATTAAAATTAATAAATAATTAATAGTTATAATTAATAATTTGAAAATATTAATTATTGATAAATAAAATAAAAAAATATTAATTACCAGTATTAATTATCAGATTTTAAAACTTCCTTTTTTTTTTATTTAATAAACAAAATGCAAACATTACATAATTTAATTTATGTTCAATATTACATCCATCATATCTAATTTTAAGAAGAATAGTATCCCCTTCTTTAAAAATAGGTGATGAAGTATTTTTTCAAATTGAAATTAATATTTTAAAAAGAGTACTAATCGATCTATATGTATTACTTCCAATTTCAGTTTCTTTAACTAATACTTCTTCATTAAATTGTTCTGATATATTTAAATCAATATTATTAAATTGATCATCATTAATATTAAATGTACCTATTCTAATTTTCTTATTAATAATATTTGCAATATGATTTTTATATTCTTCAATATGATATTCATAAATAAAATGAAATTTAACTGCAGTCAAATGTTGATATCCATCTCTTGCCAATAAAAATTTATTACATGTATATACAATAGTATTCAATTTCTCAGGTTTAAGGTTTTTGTTATAAATCAAATTGACAATTTCACCATCAAAATCTAATTCAATATTACAAATAAAAATAGCTAGTTATTTAGTTTTTGTAATCATTTTATGTTTTATAATTAAAGATGAAAGATCTTTTTTTGAATCTTTACCAAAAGTTACAAACTGTTTATTTTGTTCAGATTTAGATTGAATTGTAGAAAGAGAATATTTTCTGGAAATTGTAAAATTAATAAAAATTTTCAATATACATTGGTATAATTTTTCTATATCAAATCCAAAAATACAAAGGTTTGATATTTGAATTCCAGTTTGTTTAATTTTCTAAATAATAAAATATAAAATATTAATTATTTTATATTTATTTAAATAATTTTATAAATTTATAAATACCTGTAAAAATTGAATAACAACTCCAGTTACTGATTTTTCATTATAAATACTTTACTTAGTATTGTTTTCTTTTCAAAAAATACTATATTTCACTTTTTGATTTAATATATAATTTGTTTTGCAATGAAGTTTTTTATTTTTTAATTCAGTCTTAATAATATAGTTATCAGGTATCTAATACCTTCTTCTATTTTTTGAATTTTTTTGAGTCATAATTAAATTTTTTGGTTAATATCTTAAAGATAATATATTGTACCATAAAACATATATATTTTTTTCAGATTTATATATTGCTACTACTTGAAAAGAATTTGAATAGTCTTCTTCAAAGATTTTTGTTGAATATTTATTTGTAAAATTTATTAAAATTAATAATATATAAAAATAATTATATAACACATCATATAAACTAAATACTACCATTAGAACTTTCATTTAAATGACTTGATATAATACTATCATTAGGACTTTTATCTAATTGACTTGATATAATATTATCATTAGGACTTTCGTCTGATTGATTTAATATAATATATATATAATAAGTACTAAGGTTGTGTTTTTGTATTGTTCTGTTTTTTTAATTTTTAATAAAGTTAAATATTTATTTAATTTTTAATAAAAGGTAATATTATAAATCTTATTAGTTTAAATAGCTTTTCACAATTACATATGATTCAAAATTGATTCTTAAAACTAATTAGGAACCAATTGGTAATATCTTTTAAAACAATAGTAATTCAAAAGTTACTAGTTAACAAAAAAATTTTCACGCAAAATGATCTATTCAATGTCCTATTTTTATTTTTTAGGATTACAGATGTGAAATTATCAGTGTACAACTTTAGATTTTTAAAATCTATTTTTTATTTTATGTGACAAAATCAAATAGAATCAGATCAGCACATATGCTTTTAAAAAGTATTACAAGTTCTACCAAAAGTATCTACAAACAACTTGTGACAACTGGTAACAAAAATATCAATATATTTTGATATAGAATTTATATAATAGTATATTAGATAGTATCTACCTGATAATATTTATGATGTATATATTAATAGCAATTGCATATACATGTTTGATAGCATATACTGATAACATACTTAGATAACATATCTTGATAGCATTTATATAATATATTTTACATACATATTTGATAGCATGACTTGATAGTATGTATATAGTATACTTAAATAATATGTTTGTAATATATCCGATAATATATATTCTCACTATTTGCTTTTTTAAAACATAATCGAATCATCAAACTCATGATAAGGCCAACTTGAGTATCTAATTGTAAACAATGTTTCTAATTTCTGTTAACATAACATGAGATCAATTATATTCTTATATGGTCAACTTTATGAAATCAACCATAATTGTTAAACCAGTATACAAATAATATTATCAAATTTAGATCTTTAAAGAAATTAAAAAAAGGTAATATAAAATTTTTATTTTTACTTATTTTTATTTATTTTTGTTTATTTAATCAGTAATATAATTATTATTTTATTTTATTATTTTATTATTTTATTATTTATTATTATTATATTATTATATTATTATCAAATTATTTTATCTTATTTTTATATTTTGTATTAATCTGAATTTGATCTCTAAATCTCAGATTATTATTTATTTCCTATTTTATTATTTGTAATTTTGATTATAAATTAAATTATATAAAATCTTAATAAAGAAAATCAGGAAATTGTTTTCTGTTTAAACTAGTATTTCATTTATTTTCTTGTTATTTCTTGATAGAAATAACTTATTAATTCAACCCACAGCAAATATAACCAAGTTTATTACAGATGAATATAAATTATCATAACCTAAATTGGATATTTCTTTACAATGGAAATTGATCAAAAACATTAAGCTGATATACGAAAATTTATATAAGTGATTAAAACATTATCAATATTGAATTTGACTTTCTAAAAGATATACAAGCCATCTATTCATCAAAGTGACTAAAATTATATACATTAATGTGTCAAAATTTATGAAACATGACATCTTCAAGTGTGTCAAGAATTATGATATTTGATATATACCTGAGTGAGAATAACCTAAACTAAGTGGAAATAATATAATTATATTATTTCCACTTCATAAAACTATGAATCTTGTGTAAGATCTAGCAAAAATAAAAAAAAATATATATAATAAAAAAACTATAAAATGGAAAAATAAAATTATGTGTAATTTTTACCTTTTTCTTCTTTATTAATACAAAATAAAAAGAGTCACAACTTGAATTCAATGGTCTTTTAGAAAAATAAAATTTGAATCATATACAGGTGGTACTGGAATAATTAAATCATCAGAATTTCTATCAACACTTTCTTAATCATTTTTTTGATAATTTTTTGCAAAATGAATGCTTTCATTAGATATAATAGTAAACTGTTTGATTGAAATTTTAAAGTGTTCCTCCACCATGAGGTTGAAATAAAATATAACATCACATAAAAATTCTATATAATAATCCTTGTGGAATATTGATCAAAACCTTTTCATATTAAAATATTTTTTTTTAGTTCCTCGTCTGTAAAATGGTCATGATGTCATAAATCAATTCCTTTTTTTCTAGTTGCTTCATTTTTCCATTTAATGCTTTCCACATTTGTGCAAGTTCTTGTCAATTTCTTAAATTAAACTTTATAGTTCTTTGAGGATGCTTTAAAATATATATACTCAATATTCTGATACAGTTCATCAATGATAATGGTGAATATTCCTGTTGTGCACAAATTGTACAAATTCTAAGAATAAATTCTGTCATCTCACACTCCAACTGATCCTTATCTGTAATAGATTCAACACCATAATTGTAACCAACATCAGATCGCCAAGTCTCTAAAATTCCAACCCAATTTGCTGTTGCTTTTTTGGTATTTGCAGAAATTGTATTATTAATGATTTCATTTATTTCATCACTAGTTGGTTTGTGATATTTAATTTTATTAATTTTTGGCAAATTTTTTTTAAATTATTTATTTGACTTCAACAGAAGACAAGTTCATTTGTTAAGTGAAAAAAGATTAAGTATAAAAAAAGTTTATTATATATTAGGATTTAAGTATTTCCGATTGTCGTAGGGCATCGTTATTGAATGCTTCGCATCCAATAACTGTCGTATCAGCTGCAGCTGATACTTTCCGTTATTTGTTGATGTAACAATAATATCATGATCACGCAAATCATGATACAACGTGAATTTCTAATTTATTCACATTCACACTTCTACCGCTTTCTCTATTATAAGAATCGACAGTAGGTTGAGATTTTATTTTAATGATTCTTTCTATGTCCAGTTAATTTCATCCATCCTTTAAATTTGTTAATTTCAATACCTTTTTTACTTTGAACTTCTGTTGGATGGTTTTTCTGACATTTATACGTGCTGAAAATTCCATTTTTTTTTATTAAATTTAATAATATTATAATAAAAAGAATCAAGGGTACCTCTATGGAAGTATCCATATAATAATTTTAATTATAATTTTAATAGTATAATTTGAATAATTAAAGTTTACATCTTTTAACTAAATCTTCACATGCTCGATTTTCCAGATCATCTTGATTAATTCTACACCATGTCTAATGACAAGAAAAAAGAATATTAATTACATTGGCAACTTCGACAGCATTAGAAACTTCAACTTGTTCATGTAATTTCTCAATTTTGGAGTTCATTTTAAAAATTTTATAATTTAAACAAATTAAATTGAGTTTGTTTGTGATGTGGTTGGTTTTATATATTGTGAAAAATCTGCTGCGTAGTTATGTCCTGTTGTAATCATTGTATTTTTGATAAACATTTATTTGAAGGATTCTTTCTGCTTCATTTATGAAGAAATCTACAACACATTTTAGTCTTTATGCCTGGCAATGTTATTCTAATTTATTAAGTTGATAAATTCATTCAGCACAAGTTGCTACTTTTTGGTATTCGCTGTTCATCACGATGTTTGTTACGTATATATGTATATATATTAGCCTGAAAGTTCATATTAAAAAATTTAAAATTATGTCTGCATCATTAGTATATATTATTTTCCCTTGAGTCAATAATTTTTAAACTTAATTAATATAACCTTTCAATTCGATTAATATGAGTTTGTATATAATCAGAAATAACAAAATATTTCTTGTATCATTTATTGTTCTAGATACAAATTGAAAGATATTTTCTTGAATCTCTTGATTTAAAATCTGTGTCACCTAAATATTTTATTTAGATTATTTAGAATTATATGGCATGCCAAATTGGAAATTAAAAAAAATTTATCAGCAATAAAACAGATATATCTAAATTAAATCTCACATACATGCCACATTAATTTAGGCTTATCCATTGTATATACGCAGTACTACATTTTTATCGAATTTCGTGGGTAAATGCGACGAAATTTAAGTGTATCACATGTTATACATGTTATTTACTATAGAATCTGTATGCACGAATTTTTTGTCTGTTACAACAATTTCTGATCCCGATGCTTTCAAAAACTTCGAGGAAGCGAAAAACGTTGAAAGGTTCTTCTGCGATCAAAGCACCCTGCCAGGTAAGAATCGGAACCAGAAACTTTAGGATCAGTTCCAGTCAAGCTACAAATAATCTTTGGCAACTAACTAAATTTTTAAATGTAGATAGAGTGGTTCATGCTGGATTTTTCAGATCAGGAAATATTTGCCATATTTATTTCTACATACATTCTGCAAAGCTGTGATTCCGCAGAGTATCTGAAGGAGTTTGGTAATGATTTGCAGTCTGAAGTAATTAAAGTGTATTATCCAAAAAATTTTTTTGGCAATAGATGGAAATTAGTTATTTATGATGTAATGATATGATTAATTTGGATGTATTCGAAACAATTTTTATTTTTATTTTCGCGTACACTGTTTCGGTATGATCTTGCTATAAAATTTCTTTATTTCACATGTGGTAAGGCGTTAATCTGTTAATCAATTTGCCTTTTGGCGTTAGCATTAGAAAGTGAAAACGTCAGCGAGATCAAAGAATAAGGTAATTATCTACTTTCGAAGCAGGCTTTTGGTCCGACTAGTGTCCTGAAATAAAATCAGAACATGTCCTTCCATTTTTTAGCAATTCATGAAAAACAAATAAAGTCTGCCCCAGAAATTTAAAACAGGAAATTGCAACAATAAATGCTCTAGTTAATATTTCCTTTTTTTTGCATTGATAATATACAGTTGACGTACCACTAGAAATGATTGTGTAATTCGAAAAAATAATGACTGAATCGGAGTCTAAGAAAAATCGCAAATTACAAACTAAATGCATTCGGATAATTAAGGAAATTCTCAATGAGGAAACGATAATTGAGTATTGCCTAGAGATGCAAGGGGTTCGACATAGTGATCGGCAAAAAAGATTTATATATATATCTTGAAGTATGGTATGACGAAAAAACCAGAAATTGTTACCCCGAAAGAATATCCGTAACTCATAGGCATAAATGGGATTTATTTATTGTATTGAATTTTGATTAATCCGTTTTGTACAAATGTGATTCCACTAAAGGGGCAAATTTGACATATATTGTGCGAGTACTGAAGCTGATTCTGAAAAATGTTGATGGAATCCTCCTTCGAATTTATTTTCGAAAAACTTCCACTCATGCAAGTGAATAAAGTGAATATAGTCGATCTGTATAAAAATAGACTAATTATAAATATAATTACAAGTAATAAAGAATATAAATAAGCTTTGTGCTAATCCATGCTAATCTAATAAGCTTTGTATAGAACGCCTGCTAATCGATCTTAACATACGATCTATTATAAAAGTACTATTACGTTTACATTTATTATTGCTTTTTCAGATATGGAAATGAATGGATTCGTAATTTATTTATTTAAAAAAAAAAATAAAAAAATAAAAAAATAAAAAAATAAAAAAATAAAAAATAAAAATAAAAAAAAAATAATATTTTTTTTTTTTTGAATTTATAATTTCTAAAAAAACAAAACAAAAATATGACCGAAATCAAAGATAATTATTCGAATAGTAATGGAAAAAATAAAGAATTAGACCTTGAGAATGGACATCAAATACAGAAGGTATCTTATTATCAATTAGGAGAGGTTATGAAAAACAATTGAAAGAAAATTTTTTCTAATAGACCTTTGGATCAGTGGGGAATCTTATATTAGCTTTTAAAACTATCGGTAAGAATTTTTTTTTTTAATCTCGCTTTTTATAATTGATCATCATTAACCGCCTTTTTTTACCATCAGGTACAATTTATGGTGACATTGGAACTTCGCCTTTGTATGTATTTACCAGCATTTTTTCCGACCCCCCAACTGATCCTAGAGACGTTTATGGTAAAAAATTTTTTTATAACATTAATTTAATTTTTAGATAAATTGTTCTGACTTTATTTTTAATAGGCACATTATCTTTAATTATATGGTCTTTGGTGAGTTTTTCGATTTTAGGTAAAAAATGTAAAAAAAAAATTAAAAAGGCAATTTATTTCTAAAACTAATAATTTAGATGATCGTGCCATTTTTCAAGTATGTTTTTATTATCTTGAGAGCCGATGACAATGGAGAAGGTGGTACATTTGCTTTGTATTCATTATTAAGCAGGTAGGCTGTGTTGTCAAGATTTATGGATTTTGTAATATCCATCAAAAACATAAAAATATATCGAAATATTTCTTTTAATTTAGACACTCCGGGTTACCTATTCGAAAAGGAAACAGCGATGATTTGATAATCGCGAATCGTGATCGTGATTCTGTATCTAGCCATAGCGTTAAAGAACCAAATATTATCAAAAGAAATAAGCTCATACAAAAAATTTTACTCGTTTTTGTCTTGTTTGGAACTTCTTTGGTATTGAGTGATGGATTGCTCACTCCCGCCATATCTGTATTGTCTGCTGTCGAGGGTATTGTGATTCCCGCACCAAGTCTAAAAAGTTCTATTGTTCCTATTAGTTGGTAAGGAAATAATATATATAGATAACGTAAATTATGTCGTCAGTTATTATGATGAATTTCTAAATTATAACCTTCAAATAGTTTTATTATAATATGCTTGTTTTTGGTGCAAAGAACGAGTCGACTTGCCATTTTCTTTGCGCCCATCGTTAGTCTTTGGTTTATATCTCTTGCCTCTATCGGAATTTGGAATATATCTCATAACCCATCTATTTTAAAAGCCTTTAACCCATATTATGCCTTTGAATACTTTATACGGAATGGCTCTTCGAGTTATCATGTCCTTGGTGGTGTTCTCTTGGCCATCACGGGAGTAGAAGCTTTGTTTGCTGATTTAGGCCATTTTAATCGGATTTCTATTCAAATCTCTTTCACACTTTTCGCTTTTCCATCTCTAACCCTTGCATACTTGGGTCAAGGTGCTCGTCTTGTATTAGATCCTTCAGTGAGTGCAAATACATTTTGGTTAACTTTACCGAGTACCGATGGTCCTATTTATTGGATCGTATTTATTTTGGCCACACTTGCTACCATAATTGCTTCTCAAGCTATGATTTTGGCTACTTTTTCACTGGTTCGTCAAGCCATGCAACTGGATTGTTTACCACTTTTAGAGGTAATTGATTTTAATACTTGCAAAATTTACATTTACACAAAGTAATATTTTGTTAATATCTTAATATCTTCTTAATAGATTGTGCACATTTCCAAGAAAATTGAAGGGTCGATTTATATTCCAGAGGCAATCATTAGAACATTTATATCTCTCTTTCTCAATTTAATCTTGTCAATTACTAATCCTCATCTTTTTTAGGTCAATTACATTTTATTGGGTTCTATCTTGATCATTATTATAGCATTCCAACACAGTGCCAATCTTACTGTAGCCTACGGTTAGTATTAAAGTATTTTCAATGATTTTATTTAATTTTTAATTTAAATTAAATTAATTATATAATTATTCAGGTGTGGCTGTCGCAAGTGTCATGCTTATCTCAACGATACTCTATGCTATTGTAATTTGCGTCGTCTTTAATCTTCCAGTTATCGTTGCTATAGTCTTCCTTTTGATATTTGGTTTTATCGATGGTGCATTTTTGGGTTCAACACTATTAAAGGTCAAATCAGGAGGCTGGTTTACCTTATTTATTGCTATTTTTTTGTTGTTTGTAATGCTGATATGGCGATGGGGCACTACTCTCAAACTGAAATATGAACTTAGAAACAAGACAAGACTCGATGATATATTTGCCAGTAACTGTCCAGAACAAGAAGCACAAGAATCCGATAGCGAAGATAGTGATGAAATTTTACCAACAATTGGACAAAAATCTAAAAACATTCAACTTCGACTTTTAGGCACAGGTTTCCCCGTCAATCGTCTTCCTGGGATAGGTTTGTTTTATAAAGAAGCTGGAATGGGAGTCCCTTTGAGCTTTTGTCATTTTATTCGTCATTTCCCAGCTGTTCCGGAGATTCTTATATTTATTACAATTCGTCCAATTCCTGTTCCTTTGGTGGGTGAAGAAGATCGATTAGTTGTAAAAAAAGTTGGTCATTATGAAAAGGTCTACCAGGTAATTGGAAGATATGGTTATACGGAAAATATTTATCAAGGAGAAGAATTTATGAAGAAATTGATTACTGCAATATGTGAAATTGATCCTAAAGCGGAAACCATATTAGAAAATCTCGAAAATGAAGTTGTCACATATATAATTGGGCATCAAAAGCTTGTAGCGAAATCAAATTCTCGTTGGTGGAAACGAGCTTTTTTAGAAACATATTCATTTCTTGTAAAAAATTCGAGACAAATTTATGCAAACTGGGAAATCCCAGCTGATGACATTATTGAAGTTGGCATAAAAATTGCTGTTTAAAATTTAGTTTAATGATAGGAATCTTGCTTTTATTGTACAGTACATTCTATTGTATTTTTATTGTATTTTATAATAATAAAATAAATGAATTTCAATGGTTTTTTTATTATGTAATAAATAGGTTTTAATTAAATTTCGTTTCCAATTATTTTCACAAGATTAAAAAATTTTAAATACATTAGAATTCATTTCATGCAAAGTTAACATATCCGAATCTTCCAACTTTATTTTAAATCATTGTTAAACAATAAATGTCGTAAATTATTAATCACAATTATTTTGTTTCTGTGCCTCTCTAACTTTATCAAAAGCATAAACGAAATCTGCTTTTATGTCCTCAATATGTTCAAATCCAACTGATACACGAATCAAATCTTTAGTAACGCCAGACTCTAATTGTTCTTGATCTGTAAGTTGTTGATGAGTAGTTGTTGCTGGATTGATTACCAAAGTTTTCGAGTCACCGACATTAGCTAAATAACTAAAAAAAAAAAAAAAAAAAGGAATGAAGAAAAATTAATTAATTTTATTAAACATGAAAAAAATACAGGAAATGAAATATTTCTTACGTAGTAAGTCTCAGATTATTGATAAAAATATTACAAGCTTCTACTCCATTAATAACACCAAAACATAAAGCACATCCAAATCCATTTGTCAAATATTTCTTGGCATTTTCATGATAAGGATGACTTTCAAGACCAGGATAAGAGACCCAACTTACAACATCATGTAAAGTTTCTAACCATTTTGCAAGAATAAGAGAATTTTCAGCTTGTCTTTGAACTCTTAATGAAAGTGTTTCAAGACCTTGTATTAATAAAAATGCTCCAAAAGGATTTTGACATGCACCAATATCACGTAAGATTTCACTTCTTGCTTTTATATTGAAAGATTTATTTCCGTAAGCATCCCAAATTTTAAGACCATGATAACTTGGACTTGGTTCTGTAAATGATGGAAATTTCCCATTATTCCAAGGGAATTTTCCACCGTCAACAATTACACCTCCAATAGTTGTTCCGTGACCACCAATCCATTTTGTGGCACTATGAACGATAATATCAGCACCCCATTTGAAGGGTTGAAAAAAATACCCACCTATTAAAGAATTTGTATATTATTTTAAAGATAAATTTATTAAAAAATATTTCAATCATTAAAATTACCTGCACCAAAAGTGTTGTCTACTATTAAAGGGATTCCTGCATCATGAGCAACCTTTGCAATTGCCTCAAAATCAGGAATATTAAATTTCGGATTTCCAATAGATTCAATATAGATAGCTTTAGTTTTATTGTCAATTAAGTTTTTAAATTCTTCTGGATCATCCCCATTAACAAACTTTACATTAATTCCTAAACGTGGAAGTGTAACCTTAAATTGATTGTATGTGCCACCGTACAAAAAACTGGTTGAAATAATGTTATCTCCACACATACAGATTGTAGAGATAGCTGTAAATTGTGCGGCTTGACCAGATGAAGTAGCAACAGCAGAAATACCACCTTCTAAAGCAGAAATTCTTTTTTCAAATACTCCTATAAAATTTTTTTTTTTTTAAAAAAAAAAGGTAAAGATGAATAAAATTTTATTAAATGATTATTATAATAGAGAAAAAATAAAAATTTAATGAAATTTCACCAATTGTTGGATTTGATATTCTATGATTTTGGAGAATAAATTCAAATAAATTAATATGTAAATTAATTATAAATGAAAAATCAAATTTTTTAAAAAATAACCTTGAATATCCATAAGATGAATCTTTGCCGGCAAATATAGCTTCTGCATGATCAGTATTTTTAAATACAAAAGAGGCACTGGCATATATTGGAGTAACCATAGCATTAGTAGCAGGATCCGGAGTTTGTCCCGCGTGAAGTTGAAGGGTTTCAAAATGATAAGTCAATTTGTCTTCCATTACTACTAATTAAATTAATCAAAATCAAAGAATTGAAAGGGTTTAAATACTCGAATTAAATTGATCTCTGTTCTCACGACCCAATGATTATAATGATTATGAAATTTCCTACAAAAAAAGAAAGACTTAAAAATAATGAACATCTTTTAGAGAATATAAAATTTTTTATTATACAATTTTTATTTTTAATGTAGATGTGATTAAATAAGGAAAGTGATTCAAAAATTCCCTAATATAGTATTTCCTCCCACATCGACCATTTTTTCTAAGATTTTAATTCTATCTTAATCCTATATCTCATATTCATAATTAGGGAGAGGAGGAATAGGAGGAAAAAAATTTTACCACAATGGAGGAATGGAGATTGATTAAATATATATATATATTTTTCTTTATTTTCATTTTTCTTTGTCAAAAATCATGAGATAATAAGTGCGAGATGACACAAGAATCATTATTACTATAAATTATTTATTATCTTTAAACAAAATAAATCTTGAGCTCAAAAATCATAAATAAAAAAAAAATCTATAATTTTTTATTATCTCTAAACAAAAAATAAAATTACACCACTTAAATCTTGAGCTCAAGATAAACAAAAAAAAAATGAGGTGAGGCGAATAAAATTTTCATTCCGATGGATTTTTTTTAAAGTGGTGCTATGTAAACAATTTCCTTTTCAAAAAAAAAAAATTCTCTAATATAGTATTCCCACATGGCCATTTCTAATTCTAAATTACTAATATTTATCCTAATCCTATTTATCCGAATCCCAAATTATCATGATTAGGAGTTGGAGGTAAGGAAAAAATTTGATACCTCAATGGTCGAATGGAGGAATGGAGGAATGGAGATTGATTAAAATTTTCTTATTTTCATTATTTTTTTTCCTTTGTCAAAAATCAACAGAATCATGAGATAAGTGCGAGATGACACAAGAATTATTATTAATTACTATAAATATAATTTCTAAATAAAATAAAAAAAAAGTATATAATTTTTATTTATTATCTCTCTCTAAAAAAAAAGAGCCATTTAAATCTTGAGCTCAAAATAAACAAAGAAAAAATGAGGCGAGGAGGATTATTAAATAAAATTATATTTAAATAAATAAATTGATACTTTTAATTTTCTTTAAAAGTTTTTTTTTTTTCTTTTTCTTTAAAAAAAGCACAATTCGTAATACAATGAAACATTTACAAAACAAACTTTATGGTGAATGCAGTTGAAATATGTTCATTCATATTCATATTACAACATTTTATCCTCAAGAATATGACTTAGAAAAATTTAAAAGTGATATTATCCATGTGCAAGGATTACAAAAGTTGATGTTGAAAACAATACAATTAAGAGGTGATGAAAATTATAATGTTCATTCTTAAGATATTTATTTATACTTAGTAAAATATAATTTAAAAAATAGTTAATTGCATCTCAAGTGTGTTTATTCTTACCATATCAATTACATTAATGGGTATTATGATAATAAGGTCACTTTCGGATTTACTGCAAGGATTATATTAATAAACAACATTCCGAGTCATTTGAATTCACTTAAAAAATGGCATCCGAACCACTACACCACTACAAAATTCCAAAAAAAAACTTTGCGTCTTTTTTTATTCTATATTTCCATAAACGGTTGAAGGTAACAGATAAATCTGTTTTCTTGCATACATAGCCGAACCAGTTATCTGAGCCATAATCACAGCCATCAAATATGAATAAAAAAAGCTCGAAAAAATTCGTTTGGTTTATTGTTCCTTTTTTTTTTTTTTTTTTTATCATATTCACGTGATAATACAAATTATTAAATTATGGTTGAATCGTGTTATCGTAATGGAGATTATTATATATTATGGATATTCAATACATTCGGAAGTTGTATTTATGGACATCAAGAATTAATTAGTGTTATATTTGGTTACTTATCAGTATTTTGTTGGTTAAATGCACAATTCCCGTAAGTTTAGTAAGGTGTCAAAAGTTATCATTAATATCATTTTCATTTAAATAGTTATATTTTATTCCTTTTTTTTTTTTATTGTCAATTTTTATTTTCTAGTCAATTAATAAAGAATTATAGAAATAGTTCGGTGGATGGATTGAGTTTATCATTTTTATTCATTTGGTTTTTAGGAGATGTAACAAATTTACTTGGATGTGTTCTAACGGATCAATTGCCATTTCAGGTTATTCTTGTATTTCTCTTTTGCAGTTTTAATTGGTATTCGAAAAATAAAAAATAAAAAATAAAAAATAATTCATACCATTTTTTAAGATTTTTAACTAAGTTTTATATTTTTATATAGGTTTATATTGCCACCTACTTTTGTATAGTCGATTTTTGTTTATTCTATCAATACTTTTACTATAGTTGGGGTCGAAATCCGATATGTGAATTATTATCATTAAGACATGTATCATCATCGAATCGAAAATTTAGGGATTCATTGGAACTTAAACGAAGAAAAAATTCTTCCGACCAAGGAAATAATATCAATAATTCAACGTCAACAATTTTTGCCATAATGTTTTTAACATTTCATTACACCTCATTCATCTCCCACACTTCATCGATTTCTACACCTCACTTTAATTTACGTTCGTTGGATCAATCAGATGATATTGAACCATTAATCCCTTCAAAAACTTTCTTTCAACAGCATTCATTATTAATTGGCAGAATATTTTCTTGGATTTGTACTGCATTTTATTTATGTAGTAGAATTCCACAAATTATTAAAAATGTATGTAAAACTAAAAAAAAAAAAAAAAAAAAAAAAAATTAAATTCAATAATTCAATAATTCAATAACTAATATTGCAAATTTCTTTCTTTAAATCAGCATAAAACAAAATCAGTCGAAGGACTTTCAATATTCATGTTTATTTTCGCTGTTTTTGGCAACCTCACATATTCCCTCTCCATATTTATAAATCCATTATTCTTCAAGGATTCTTACTATGCAGGAGAAACTATTCCATATATATTGGGTTCAATTGGAACTTTGGGATTTGATATTACAATATTTATTCAATGGTTTAGATTGAGAAATAATAAAGGTGCAAATAAGAGTAGTTATGCTATGTTATCTAATGAAGATGATTATAATGAAGATGATGATGATGATAATGAAGAAGAGATGTCTGTAATGAATGAAATGGATATTTACAAGAAATCAACCGAAAGTGAAGAATATCAAATGATGATTGAAGAAGGAACGCTTAGTGAAGAGGAAACAGATTTATTAGTTTAAAATTAAAATAAAGGTTGAGTTTTTTTTTTCATGCATGCATGCATGCGTAGAGTTAAAGGTTGTTTCACAAACGTGAATAACATTAGTTATCAATGTATGTAATTTTAAAATTTTTGTCAATATAAATGTCCAATCGAATTTACCACTTTTAGTAATTGGATTGAAAGAAAACTTTATTTTTAGTTGGTGATTTTGGTACAATAATAAAAAAAAATAATAAAAGGGAAATGTTACAAATAATGACACACCGCATATCAGATGTACTTCTTAATAAATAACATAACATAAATAACATTATTTAATATAAAATTTATTAGATCATTATTTACAAGTGTGGTGTGCCCTTCATCATATCAAAAAAAAACTAAAAAAAAAAACTAAGAAAAAAAAAAATTTTTTTTAAAAAAAACCGAAAAAAAACTGGCCAAAAAATTTTGGCGGGAAGATTTTCGTTATTTATATAATAATTCGTTGATAAATATAGATATAAAACTTCAAAAACCCTGAAAATGATTTTTAACCTGTTCGATTCAAGATTCAATATTTGAAGTATAAGGTTAGCGAGAGAGAAAATACGAAAATATCCAATTTATTCAAATATTTTTTTGTCTATTTACGGCAAAAATAATTACATGTATATATAATGTAATGCAGAATTGCATAATTTTATAATTTGAATTCTTTGAATCCACAAAGTCCTAAGATCAAAACATTACAGAACACCAATAAAAATAGATAGACATTAAGCTTTATCTTTTTTAATTTATACTTTTTTATAATATATAGTTAAAATTGTGTAATTTTCGAATTATACCAAATTCAGTTGGGCCCCAAAAAAAATAAACTGAAACACTTCTTTACCATTTTTAAGTAGTTTCGTCATAATTAGAATGCATATCTATACATTTGTGGAAGTTAACGAATAAATATTAATAAATATTTGTCAACTATAAAAGAAACAAGAATCCCTTAGTTGAAACATTTGCAAAAAATTCGTAACTAACTGATGGGCATCCTACATTTTCGAAAAATAATTTCCTACATTTTCTATCATTAGAGAAAATATTTTGTTTTTTAACAAAACAAAAAAAAAATATTAACTGTATGCCGTATGGTGCATTATCAAAAGTTCTTTAAATGGATTAATAAGGTAATATTCTTATAAGTGTAAAGTTATGGGTTTTCTTGTCTTTCTTTTGACTTTCTGACTTTTTTTTTTTTTATTTTTATTTTATTTTTATGCTAACCAAGGCGGGTGACGTAGCAAAAAGTCGTTTGAAGCGTCAAGAAGAACAAGAAAATGGATATCCGGCAACATCCGATTGTAAGCACAAATCGGATTTATCATTAAAACATAAATTTAATAATCATTGGTTTGATAAGTTTACTGAAAGTCGAGATAAAAATCTTGAAAGAGATTCAAAGGATTTCAGTCCCACACAAAAGATAAAACATCAAAGTCTTCCAGTAAGTTCAAAAAAATTGCAATTATTGGATTCTAAAACAAGAAAATTTATTGTTGACAAACGACGATATGCAGTAGTTGATCCTTTCAATATAGGCCACAATAGAAGTCATTCTGCTGATAATTCTCATCATCATTTAACATCAATTTTAAATAACAATTCTATTGAATCAAATAAAGAAAAGGGACTATTTGTAAAATTAGAAAAATTAGAAAAATTAGAATTTTTAGAGGAAGAAGAAGAAGAAGAAGAAGAGGATCTTGACGAAACTCCTGCAAAAATTTTTATAGCTAAAAAAGAAAAAATAATAAGAAATAGTCAATTCAGTATTCAATCAGTACGACAACTTAATAGAATATCAACTTCAAATCTACATAACAAATCATACAAACCAACGGATCGATGGAAAAGTTTGAACATAATAAAATATCAAGAAAATTCCACATTAAAACGATCATCAAGTTTTGAAGTTGGTGATTTTAAAGATTTAAAAAAAATTTCAGAAATTTCTCAAGAGATATCTGAATCCACGACAAAAGAAAAATCTAACATAGAATACATCAACAATAGTTCAAATGAAGATCAAAGCATTTGTTCATCATGTAAAAGAAAAATAGCTATTGTTGGTTATTATGCACATTGGTGTCAATTTTGTGAATCCAAAAGATTTGAAGAAGAATTTGGTACTTGGACGAGTGAAAATGATGAAATAGATTGCTTTATTTTAGAAACGCAACTTGATAGTAAAAGTTGTTTTGATTATTTGGAATGGATTCAGTATGATAGATTTCATGATATTCAATATGTTGGTACAGGATATTTTGGCGGTGTCTGTCATTCCGTTTGGCTAGATGGGCCACGTGATAAATGGGACGAACGAACAAAACAATACATTCGAACTGGAGAATGTTTGGTTGCCTTAAAATATTTGAATAATTCAAAAAATATATCATCAGAGTTCTTTGAAGAGGTATGATAATTATTTATTTTCATTTTATTTTTATTTAATCATTTCATTTTATTTCAATCATTAATTTTAATTTCAATCATTTATTCTTTTTATCTAAAAAGATGAGGAAATATTTACAATGTGAAAATAATAATGGAATACACATTATACGATCCTTTGGAATTTCTCAAGATCCAAAAACAAAATATTATATATTAGTTATTCAATACGCACGAAATGGTGATCTTACCAAATATCTAACGAAAAATCTCAACGTGACATGGCAGCGAAGGCTAGAAATTCTTTATGCTATTTCTACAGGTCTTGTTCAAATGCACAAAAAAAATTTGATACATCGAAATTTACATAGTGGTAATGTCCTTATCAATGCACATACGACATTAATAGATTATATGGGAATGTATCGTCGTCCGATCGACGAATCTAATTCAATGAAATTAGGTACATATGGAGTTCTTCCATTTATAGCTCCTGAAATAATAAGGAATCAACAACCTCATACAAAGGCAATAGATATTTATAGCTTTGGAAGTATAATGTGGGAATTAACTACAAATAAGAAACCTTTTTCTGAACGCTCACATGATTTAAATTTGGCACGAGAGATAAGTCAAGGATTACGACCTGAAATAACAGAGGAAATACCCCCATGTTATGCAAAATTAATGTTAAGATGTTGGAATGATGATCCAGAAAAACGACCAACCGCAGAGGAGCTTTATGAGACCATAGGAATGTGGCTCGTGGAACTTTCAGATTCAATATCAACAGAAACATCAGTAGAATTCCAAAAAGCCGAAAAAGAAACAATCTCACAATCAGTAAAATCTATGGATACCATAAAAAAACGAAAAGATGATGAAATAAAAGAAGAAATAAAGGAAGAAATAAAAGAAGAAATAAAAGAAGAAATAAAAGAAGAAATAAACGAAGAGATAAAGGATGAGATAAAAGAAGAAATAAAGGAAAAAATAAACGAAGAAATAAAAGAAGAAATAAAGGAAGAAATAAACGAAGCAATAAAGGAAGAAATAAATGAAGAAATAAATGAAGAAATAAACGAAGAAATAAAAGAAGAAATAAACGGAGAAATAAAAGAAGAAATAAAAGAAGAAATAAAAGAAGAAATAAAGGAAGAAAAACGAGAAGAATGGATAGAACAGAATACGTTAGTAGTTCAATCCGAAAACAATCAAGCAGAGATGTCAATAACATTTGATAACAATTCTTTATATTCATTGAAAGAAAAAATAACACAAAATTTGGCGGTAATAGCGCACATGGCTGCCGAAACCGAATTATATAAATTAAAAGCTGCCACAATAGAAGCTGATAATACTATAACAGCAGCAGAAATATATGATATCATGCAATACTGGTGATTGCTTATGAAATATATATAAATTATAATATTAAAAAATAAATTGATTAAATTATTTTTTTACAATATTTAAAATATAAAATATTTTAAATTATTTATTATTAATTAACATTTAGAAAATATTATTTTATTTTATTGGAATGATTGGAATTATTATTTATTTATTTTTTTTTCATTTATAATTATTATATATATATTTTTTTTATTTACATAATATAACTTCACTTCATAATTTAGTTTGTATTTAAGATAAGATGTAAGTTATCCTATACTGTATTTATATTTGCAGTCAACCTTTCTATAAATGTTACTGTTTATTTTAAAAACGAAATACATATTCTCTAAATGCATTTATAGAAAGTCGACTATATTTTTTTTTACATATTATTAACTACAATATTAATATCTGCAATTTCTTTAATTTCATAATTTGCCTGTTATTATGGCTATAGTAAATAAAATTTTTTTTATCAAAATAATTTTTTGTGTAAAATGTTCACCTGATTGACTATCAAAAAGTATAAAATGGCATCCTTTCTGTAAAGTTTATGAGAAATTATGGATTTTATATTTAATTTACTAACACTTTTCAGTATAGGATTTTGTACTACTATTTGTTTCATCTATCTTCACTTAAAAAAACGAGTAATAAATGCTGTTCAGAAAAGAAGGAATTTTTTGAATTCTATTGACTTGAAAGTTATAAAAAATCCTTTATTACTTGGATTTTTTCATCCATATTGGTAAGTACTATTATTTATATAGTAACTCAAAGTAAGTTATATGAATTTCTGCTCTAGTTTTCAATTATTTGATTTTTAAAGATCAATAATTAAATTAATTATTGTTTTAATAATTGAAAATTACAATATAGTAATGCTGGCGGAGGTGGAGAAAGGGTACTTTGGACGGCCATTCGTAGCATTCAAGAAAAATATTCACATGTAATGTGTGTTGTGTATACTGGCGATACCCAAGTTACAAAAGAAGATATATTGAAAAAAATTGAGGTAAAATAAATCTTTTTTTTTTATTGTAATTTTATTACGAGTAATATTCTTCATGAATACCACCATTCTTCTTTCTAAAGAATATGATTATATCATTGTAGGCAAGGTTTAGTATTCAACTTAATCCAAATACCATTGAATTTGTGTTTTTGAATAAACGTTATTGGGTAGAGGATGTGAGGTAATTATTGTAATTATCGTAATTATCGTAATAACAAATTAAAATATTATTTATTCAAATTTTTAACACCTTTGTTTTTAGATATCCTCGCTTTACTTTATTAGGTCAAAGTCTTGGATCAATAGTACTCGGATTTGAAGCACTTGAGAAATTGACACCGGATTTGTATTTTGGTTAAACCTTTATTTTGTTTTTCATTTACAATATATTGTTTCGTATTGTATTTTAATAATTTTAATGATTTTTTAGATACAATGGGTTATGCATTTACATATCTTATTGCTAAAAGAATTTTTGGTTGTAAAGTTGCTGCATATGTACATTATCCAACTATAAGGTATTATTTTTATATTTATTATTATTATTATTATTATTATTGTTAATTGTTGCAATTAGGGTTGGGAAAAATAGGTTAGTACAGTTAGTACATTATAAAATTTAGTACAAGTTCAATATCAATTTTTTCTAGTTACATACAAATTTCCCCAACCCTGGTTGCAATAATGCAATAATTCACAATAATTCAGTAAATTACATATATTTTTTTTATTTAGTTCAGATATGCTCAAGAAAGTGCAAGAAAGGAGACCAGGATATAATAATCAGAGTTTAATTACTAAAAGTGTTATATTCAGCACTGTCAAAATATTGTAAGAATTTCACTATTTAGGAAAATTGCTAAATATAACCGCAGGTGATTGTCACCACTGGGCAAAATTAAATTTACGTGGGCAAAGTTAGGGTTAGGGTTGATCAAGGAATTATGAAATTTTGACAATCACCTGCGGTGATATTTGACAATACCTAATTATCTTATGTAATTTTTCATTTTTATAAATTATATAATTAATTTTTTTACATTAAAATTTTTTTATACAGATATTATAGAATATTCGCATTGTTATACTCATTTGTAGGTTCATACGCTGAAATAGTAATGGTAAATTCCACTTGGACTAAAGGACATATTGATGAGCTTTGGGGAGTGAAAAGTAATATTGTATATCCTCCCTGTGATACAGCAGCTTTATCAAAACTTCCATTAAGTGGAAGACAAAGAGGAGTCATAGTTAGTATAGCTCAATTTAGGTAAAAAGAATATTATAATTTTATATTTTTTTAATTTAATTATGATTTCATTTTATTTTTAATTTTTAATGATTTTAACTGAATATTATTATAATAATAAATATTAAATAATAGACCAGAGAAGGATCATCGACTTCAACTTCAGGCCTTAAATAGATTGTTAATAAATCATCCCGAATTTCGAGATGATTTAGAAAATAAGGTTAAACTTGTATTAATAGGTAGTTGTCGTAATGAAGGTGATCAAAAAAGAATTCAAGAATTAAAGAAATTATGTAAAAATTTAAACATTGAGGTAAATAATTTATTTATTTGGCATCTTTTTTTATCCTTTTATTTTTTTCTATCCTTTTTATTATTTTTATTTTATTTTTTTTTATAATATATTTTATTTTAAAGAATAATGTAGAATTTGAAATTAATGCAAGTTTTCAAGTCTTGGTAAATTGGCTTTCAAAAGCTATGATCGGATTACATACAATGTGGAATGAACATTTTGGAATTGGAATTGTTGAATATATGGTGAATAAATAATAAATTCAACGTTAATAAATTTTTTTTAATTATCAATTATTAATTATTAATAAATTATATTAGGCTGCAGGAACAATTCCAATAGTACACAATTCTGGAGGACCTAAGATGGATATTATTATTCCATATAATAATCAAATAACGGGTATTATAAGATAAATTATTATAAAATCTTTCAAATAAATCAATAATTGCTATTAATAATAATTGATATTATTATTCTTCTAGGTTTTCTTGCTGACGATGCGAATTCGTTTGCAAATGAAATTTATAAAGTCTTAACTTTAACAGATAATGAATTTATGAAAATACAAAATAATGCAAGAGAACATGCTAAATTACATTTTTCGGAATTTGTTTTTCAGAATTCAATTTTAGAATTGTTGAATCCTCTATTAAGTAAAAAAACAGTAATTAATAATAATAAAGAGAATATTGCAAGCTTTTGAATTTTTTATTTATGATTTTTTATTTTAGTTCTTGAATAATAATAATAATTGTTTTCGTTTTTTATCTTTATGTTTTTACTCTTAAAGTTTGTTGAATATTCATTAATAATTACTAAAGTCAAGTCATTATTTTGTAACTACAAGATTTATTGCATATGTCAATGATAATACAATAGTTTAATAAAAATACATTTATATTCAGATAGAAATAATAATATAAATTAAAGTGATTTATAGAACTACAATTAAGAAATTTCAATCGCATAAAGTAATCTGAAAAAATTTTACCAAATTTTAACTTAATTATCTTATTTATATCAAATCTTAAAAAAGAAGGTTGAATATGTAATAGTGAAGGTAAAGAATGGCTTGTAAGGTATGCCTCAGAATGAGTAGTTTCAGCAGATGATGATTCAAAATCTTCATCTTGCATTTTTTGATCTGCATTTAAAAACATAAGTAAATGTTCTGTTTCATCATTAGTCATCGAATCATCAATCCATTTTTCTAATGTATAAAAAATCATTTCAGTATTTGGACGCTTGGCTGGATCTTTGTGCCAACATTTTTCCATTAATTCTACATAACATTGAGGTGTGTCTCTATTAATTTTTGATCGAAATCCATTGAAAATATCAGCTGCTAATTCTGAATCATAAGCTCTTTTAGAAAATGGTATTTTTCCTTGTTGAAATTATCCACATAATAATTCCAACACTATAAATATCTGAAGCTTGTGTATATTGATATTTATTCAATACTTCAGGTGCAATATATGGCAATATACTATATACTCCAGATGATGAATTTTCATTTGCTAATCTGCACAATCCTAAATCTCCTAATCTTATGAAATTATTATTTGAATTAGTATCTACTTCAGTTATCATAAGGTTACCAGAATGAAGATCACGATGGATAAATCCTTTACTGTGAATGACTTTTAATCCCCTAATAAAAGAACTCAATAACCATAATCGTTCAATCCAAGGTAAGGATTTATTTTGTTTAAGAAATCTCTTAAATTTCCATTTTTCATATATCTTAAAACTATTGCATATTCTTTTGTCATTGGATCTTGAGTTATATCAAAAATTGGTAAAATATATTTATTTCGACATTGGAAATTTGCAATTAACTATATTTATAAAAAATATAAATTATAGATATATTGATATATTGATATATTTAATATTTACCTCTTTTAAAAATTCGGAACTGATTTCTTGTGAATTCTTAAGCTTCTTTAAGGCAACTTGATTTGATTTATAAATTCAAATAACTCTTCAGGCATATCAATCCATTCTGCCTTCCAAATACTACCAAACCCACCTTCAGCTATATCCTTGAATTTATTATAATTTATCCATCTCCATTCTTTTGCATCATCATCTGATTGAGTCATTCGAATAATCTTATCGATTTCATCAATACCACTAGTCTATTTTGGCATTTCTATAAGTTTACAGTTTGAACATATATTGTTTTTTATATTTAAATTTTTACAATCCTGACATCTATGCTTTGATTATTTTTAATCTTAGAAATTCCAATTTCATTTTGGTGACAGTATTCAATTCAATTGAAACTTGTTCTTCTTTAGCAGATTTCAAGTACCATCTAAATGTTTTTTCTTCATCTTTTGTTGTTCCAATACCATAATAATAGCAATCTTCAAGATTATTCTGTCCTATATGAGATCCCCCTTCAGCTGATTTCAAGTACCATTGATATGCTTTCTCTCCATCTTTTGTAGTTCCAATCCCATCTCGATAACAACACCCAACATTATTCTATCCTCCGTGGTCCTCTCCTTCGGCTGACTTTAAGTACCACTGAATGCTTTCTCTTTATTTCTTGCGGTACCAATCCCATCTCGATAACAACATCCTAGATTATTCTGTCCTTCATGGTTCTCTCCTTCAGCCGATTTTAAGAACCAATGAAATGCCCTCTCTTCATCTTTAGGAGTTCCGATTCCATGGTAATAACATTCTCCAAGACTATTTTGTCCTTTAATATTACTTCCTTCTGCTGATTTCAGATACCACTGAAACGATTTCTCTTCATCTTTTGTGGTTCCAGTTCCATCGTAATAGCAACATCCAAGATTAAACTGTCCATTACTATTTCCCCCTTCAGCTGACTTCAAGTACCACTGAAATGCTTTCTCTCCATCTTTTATGATTCCAGTTCCATTATAATTGCAATCTCCAAGATTATTTTGCCCTCCATGATCCTCTCCTTTAGCTGATTTCAAGTACCACAGAACTGCTTTCTCTTCATCTCTTGTGGTTCCAATCCCATCTCGATAACAACATCCAATATTATTCTGTCCTCCGTGGTCCTCTCCTTCAGCAGATCTCAAGAACCACTGAAATGCTTTCTTTTCATCTTTTGGAGTTCCAGTCCTTTACTATTTCTTCCTTCAGTACCACTGAAATGATTTCTCCTCATCTTTTGTGGTTCCAATTCCATCGTAATAGCAATTTCCAAGATTAAACTGTCCATTACTATTTCCCCTTCAGCTGACTTCAAGTACCTTTAAATTCTTTCTCGATATCTTTTGTGGTTCCAATTCCATCTCGATAACAACACCCAAGATTATTCTGTCCCATATTATTTCCTATTTCAAGTACCACAGAAATGCTTTCTCTTCAACTTTTGTGGTTCCACATATTGATAACAAGCTCCAAAAATATTCTGTCCCATATGATTTTCTGCTTCAGCTAACTTCAAGAATCACTGAAATTCCTCTTTATCTTTGATTGTTTCGATTTCATTGTAACATATAGTTTCCATTTGCGTGATGATTCTTCTGTCGAAAGCTTTAATAAATTTCTATTCTTTTTATTAAAAAATTTGAAATGTGATGAATTATTTATATACGAAGGAATTCACTTTATAACGCTTATAAAGACATGAAAATTACGAATAAAACTTCTTGTTGTTAAATGAGTTGAATTTTTAGTCATTTATGGAAATACAGAATAAGATATCTCATATGAGTGTTGTGAAGTTGAGTACCTAAAAATTGTATATTGTACAATTGTACAAAGATCCACAAATTTTTGAGCAAATGTTTTTTAATAATATAATAACTCTATCTAAGCAAATTTTATGAGGTATCTTAATGTAGTAAATTATGACTTATAATTCATCTTCGCAATATAAAATTTAAAAAATCGGAAAAAATTCATCGTTGCGTTGATACATAGTAAACTTATTTGTGCGACACAAAAGTATACTTAAAGCTATTAATAACAATATGAATTTCTAAATGAACAGTAAACATCAATTGACAAAAAAGTTTTGGAATAAGTATTACAAATAAGGCGTGCATGACTGATCTAAATTACTTCATTGTTATTTTAGAATAATGCACATCTATACCAGTATTTTATTCGCTTATTTAAATTTATATAATTCACTTTACGAATATAAATGTCTATTTGATATATTGAGATGAATTACGATTCTTTATAATATGTGTTTATAGGGTTCCAAAATACAAATCTATAATGTTATACTGTTGTTAATGTCAAAATTAAATGTAAAATATAATTTATTACAAGAAAATAAAAGTTATAGAAAAATTCTTCTATGAAAGTTGACTATTAAAAAAAAAAATTCAAATTATATAATTACCTCGCGTGAAATGACGTTTATTTGTTGAAATATTAAAATTTTATTCTAAATTAATGATAATAAAATATTTACATCCTGTAATATAAAGTGCATTCCATTTATTGATTGTTGGTTACTTTAATCTCGATTTTCAATAATTTATGAATCTAAAATTAAATGCGCATGCAATTTAATTTATCGTCACATCAATTTTGCTTCTATATTTTTTGAAATGGTGAAAAAATTAAATATTTGTCTATTATTTTATATACTCATATATAGTATTAATTTCTAGATTATACAAAGAAGAATGGTAAAGAGAATTTAAAATGTAATTAATTTCGATCGTTTGAGGTAAATCCAACTTAGATATGTTATCATAAAAAATCATTTATAATAATTGCTAAAATTTCTTAATTGTAGTGTCTATAAATCACTCCACCTTGACCAGTTTATATTATTTTTGAAAATTTCAGTAAAAATTTGTTTAAATTTCAATTGCATAAAGTTTATTTATTATTAAAAATTAAAATCATTTTATTCATATCAAATTTTAATATAGAAGAAGGTTGAATATGTGACAGTGAAGGTAAAAGATGGCTTGTAAGGTATGCCTTAGAATGAGTAGTTTCAGATGATAATTCAAAATCGTCATCTTGCGTTTTTTCATTTGCTCTTAAAAACATAAGTGAATTTTCTGTTTTATCATTAAACATTAATTCTTCAATCCATTTTTCTGATGTATCAAAAATCATTTTAGCATTTGGACGCTTGGTTGGATCTTTGTGCCAACATTTTTCCATTAATTCTACATAACATTGAGGTGTGCCTCTATTAATTTTTGGTCGAAGTCCATTGAAAATATCAGCTGCTAATTCTGAATCATGTGCTCTTTTAGAAAATGGTATTTTTCCTGTTGAAATTACCCACATAATAATTCCAACACTATAAATGTCTGAAGCTTGTGTATACTGATATTTATGTAATACTTCGGGTGCAATATATGGCAATATACCATATGCTCCAGATGATGTGATTTCATTTGCAAATCTGCATAATCCTAAATCTCCTAATCTTATGAATTTGTATTTTGAATTGTTATATACTTCATTTATCATAAGGTTGCCAGGATGAAGATCACGATGGATAAGTCCTTTACTGTGAATGACTTTTAATCCCCTGATAAAAGAATTCAATAACCATAATCGTTCAATCCAAGGTAATGATTTATTTTGTTTAAGATAATCTCTTAAATATCCATTTTTCATATATCGTAGAACTAGTGCATATTCTTTTGTCTTTGGATCTTGAGTTATACCTAAAATTGGTAAAACATATCTATCACGTCAATGAAAATTTGCGATTAACTATAT